CCCCCCCCCCCCCCCCCCCTCCGCCTGATATGGACTCCTTCCCGTGCTTCCAGAGCTTAATGCTGTTCTCCTCTTCGCTGGGTCTAAGGAGCCCTAAACCCTTGGGCCTGAGGGTTTAGGGGTTTAGGGNNTAGGGGTGTAGGGTGTTAGGGGTTTAGGGGTTTAGGGTTCTAGGGGTTTAGGGGTTTAGGGCGCTTTTTTTGGAGGAAACTACAGGTGGGGAGTTTAGGGTTTTCTAGGGCTTCTATAAGGCTTCCATAAGGTATATAGACTTTCTATAAGGCTCCTATAACGATAGCTACCCACCTGAAAATGTTCTAGATCCTAGAGCTAAGGACCCCTAAACCCTAAACCCTAGCCCCCTAAACCGTAGACCCCCTACAGCTCTTTGCGGGCTATATGAAGCCTTTCGCAGAAGTCTAGGATTTCGACAATACATGATTCTGCTGGCTTTGAGCTTTAGGGCGTCCGGTCGAGGGTTAAGCCGTAAAATCGAGACACCCACCCCTGTTAAGAAGGAGCGCAGCCCAAAATAACAACGAGAAACCTTTAGGGTTTAGGGTTTAGGGCTTAGGGTTTAGGGTTTAGGGTTTAGGGCCACCCCACGTAAAAGCTTGGCAACCAAACTGCTGACACGACCCTGACCCCCACAACTTCACGAGACCCTAATCCCAGAGTAACGACTCGCAACCACATAAAAGAACTCAGCACAACAAGAAGCTATATCAAACCCCCAGCAATCAAACCCCCAGCAAATGACCAACATAGACCTCTAAACTCTAAACCCTGTCCCTATCCCCCCTCCGAAGAACAGTGTAAACCACCCCACCTCTCAACAAAAAGACTTGGACAAGAAAAAGCCCCCTCCCAAAAGACACACCAAATCTGTACAGAACGCTTTGATGGAACCCTTGCTTATCACCCTAAACCCTAACCCCTAAAGCCCTAAAGCCCTAAACCCCTCCTGAACCCTAAACCGGAAACCTTGAAGCACCCTAAAGGCCCATCCCCCCGGCCCTCTGAAGAGCCACCCACACCCGGCTCTACCCATAGGCTCCATAGTAGCTCCTTTTTGTGGTTCATATTTGGGATCCTACAAGGTAATCCCCAAAACGGAACTGCTATGGAGCCTATATGGGTAAGCCCACAACACCTGAAGCCACCGGCTCTTCGAGAACCCTGCCATAGGACCCTCCCAGAACACGTAAAGATCATCCCCTTAACGAACCTTATTTCCCCGCACCCTGGCCTTGGACCCTACGGCATAAACTGGCATAAACCCTAAATCCTGAACCTGAAAAGCACGGAACTAGAAACCCGAAACCCTGGGTTTAGGGCTTAGGGTTTAGGGTTCAGGGGTTTAGGGTTCAGGGGTTTAGGGTTTAGGGGTTTAGGGTTTAGGGGTTTAGGGGTTTAGGGTTCAACCCTCAACCCCAAACACACCCAGTTCTTCAAGGAACCCTAAACCCTGAACCCTAATCCCTCAACCCTCTAAACCCTGTTCTTCAAGTCCTGGAAGAGCTGGATCTTTTGGGAGCCCGTGAGAACCTCTCTTCTTCAACCACCAGGCCCAAAAGAGTTCAAACTTTTTAGGATAGACATAATATATAAGGCCAAAAAGTTGAAAGTTCTCCCATTGGCTATCTGAGGAGCGTGGCTCGCCTTTTTGAACTCGGAGCCCGATTCCTGGAGGCTTCCCCACCTGCCCGGTTAAGGTTTAGGGCTTAGGGTTTAGGGTTTAGGGTTCCCCACCTGCAAAAAAAACAGAAGAAAGGGCTTAGGTAGTTCTCTAAATTAGGGTCCCTTTTAGGGCTCCTTAAAGGGATCCCTGATCTATAAGGGTTTCTTATAAGGGCAGTATACAATAAGGGTTATATAGGAGTAGTTCTCTAAATTAGCGTCCCTTTTGGGGTCCCCAATAAAGTACGGCACCAGAAGGAACCAACATTTAGACAACTACCCACCTGCAAGAAAAAACAGAAGAAGGGCTTAGGGTTAGGGTCGTTTAGGGTTTAGGGCTTTAGGGTTTGGGGTTTAGGCTAGGGTTTCGGGTTTAGGGTTTAGGGCTTCGGGTTTAGGGTTTAAATAGGGCGTTTAGGGTTTAAGGTTTAGGGCACAAGGCTTTCCGGCACCTCGCCCTGCTCGTAGGTTTGAAGGCTCTTTGCCCCTACGAATTCCCTGCATGAAACACTTATCATGACGCCCTATACAAACCCGAAGCTCCTACACAATCCCCTATAAACCCTAACCCCAAAACCCCTATAACCCCCTGCAAAACCTCAAAAGCCGCCCAAAAAAGAAGCCTGCAAGGAACCCTATAGATCCCTGAAAGGAGCCCCATTAAAGGGCGGTGGGGTTTGTTGGGCTTAGGGTTTAGGGTTTGATATTGAAGGTCTACATGTTACTAGTTATTGCTAGTTATTAGGATCCCTACCACTACTTCGTAGCCCTCAAGTGACAGGGCGCTTGATATCAAGGCATTCCTCAATTCACTTGGATGGAGAAAGTAGGCTCTACGTTTCTGTGTATCTGAAGCTGTACTGAGGACAACCCTCCAACTTGTGTGCTCACACCGGCCTGCTGTCGGCCATCATCCTTCAGTACATTCATACCATCCTAGACCCCCAAACCCTGACTGAACCCTAAGCCCTAAACCCTACAGTAGAAGCCTGCCCTAAACTCTACCCTGAGGGCCTTAATGATTAGAAGAGGGTCTTGGAGTCCATTATTCCATTATACTACAAATAGAATCAGGAACTCCCAACACAGTGTCGGTAATTATTGAGGCCCCCTAAGTATTCTGTCCGAGGCTCATGAGGCGCGGTCCAATGTTGCTGCCCTCTGAGTTGTGCTGTCGTTTCTGGAGCCATTCCCCGAAGATTCGCCTCAGGCGGACCACAAAAAATCAAGAATTAAATCCCAAATCCTAAACCCTAAACCCCACATCCCCTAAACCCTAAACCCTGAACCCCACATCCCCTAAACCCTAAACCCTAAAGCCCTATAAACCCTAAAACCCTATAAACCCTACAAACCATCTACAACCCTATAAACCCTATAAACCCTAAAGCCCTATAAACCCTAAAACCATAAACCCTAAAGCCTTATAGTACCCTTTTTAGAGCCCTTTAAAGGAACCCTTATAGTTCCCTTTAAGGAACCTAAAGCTCTGAAAACCCTCAAGCCCTAAATCCGCTGATGGAGGTTCTGGGGGCGTTCGGGCCCTGGGCTTTTTCACGGAGGCTTAGGGCTTCTTAGGGGTTTTAGGTTTTTTGGTGCTTTAGGGCTTCTTAGGGTTTTAGGGTTTTGGTGCTTTAGAAATTTGGGGTTTAGGTTTTGGTGCTTTAGGGTTTTGGGGTTTAGGTTTGGTGCTTTAGGGTTTTGGGGTTTAGGGTTGTAGGGCATTAGGGCTTTAGGGGTTTAGGGTTGTAGGGCTTTTAGTAAAAGTCTTAGGGTTTTTGTAAGGGTTTTGGGGTCTTAGGGTTTTTGGGGGTTTTAGGGACGGAGACTTCGGGGTTTCTGGCGCGCTCATGTCGGGGCCTGAATGATGAGAATAGGGCTCCTTTAAAGGGTTAGGGTTTAGGGTTTAGGGTTTAGGGTTTAAGGGGGTTCTTATAAGGGTATAATTAAGGGGCCTTACTACTCAAGAATAGGGTTTTGGGGGGTATAATACTATAACTATAATAAGGAACCCTTAAAGGTAAATACAGGGCCCCTTAAAAGGATTACAGACAATAGCCATAACAAGGGACCCCCTCCAAAAATAGTAAAGGTAAATATTTCGGCCTCTACATTCACTTAGGGTGGAAGGTCTAGGACAGGTGGGCAGAACATTTGGAAACCAGACCGGCAGAGGCATTTTTAACCCAACGGAGCTTCCCCAAAACCGATTAGGGGTTAGGGTCCAGGGTTTAGGGTTTAGGGTTTGGGGTTTAGGGGTTTAGGGTTCAGGGGTTAGGATGTACCTCTATCTCTCTTTACCTACAGTTTAGCAGCCATGACCCCTTAATTAGTAGGTAGAAGCCATAAAACTGTAGGGTAAGTAGAGTCCCAGGTAGGTCTAGGATCTACAGTAGCTTGCTTGTTTACACACAGCTTGCCGTGGCCATGAATGAAGCAGGGTGGCAAGTTCTCACCGATCAGCTCGTTGTGTGGGGTTGCCGCCAAGAAGGCCTGGACTCAACCCCACAAGCCTTCTTAGAAGCAACTAAGACGCTAGTGTCTCGGAAATATAGGAGTCTTCATCATCATAAACAGATGCGGATGGTGTTGAAACAACTCTACTATAGTTACAAATTACAAAAAGAAACCCTAAGGACAACTCAACTGTTGCTGCTGCGGCTACTGCTACAGCCACCACTACTACTAATACTACTACTACTACTACTACTACTACTACTACTACGACTACGACGACTACGACGACTATTACTACTGATAAGAAGCATTTTCAAGTTTCTATAGTACCACTTTTAAACCCCTTATAAGAAGCCCCTTCTAGAAACATTTTCCAAGAAACGCTTGTTGAATCCCTTATACAAACCTTTGTTTCAAGAGACGCTCATTGGACTTTCTGCAAAGGCGACGGCCCGCCTGGAAAATCTCCTTTTTGCACATCGAGCGCACACTGGCAAAGGTCGTATCAGGGTCCAAGTAGGCCTCGGGTGTGCTTAGGGCTTTAAGCTTTAGGAAGCTTAGAGGGTAAACTTCAAGAGGGGGTTTTGGGTTGAGGTTTCTGGTTTTGCAGGGTGGGGATTAGCCTTTAGGCTTTAGGGTTTTGGCTTGTAGGAATTGCGGTTGGTTCTCTTGATAAAACCCCCCGAAACAGGTTCGCGCATGTAGACCCAAGAGGGCAAATGATAAAACCCACAGAAACAGGCTCGCACATGTAGACCCAAGAGGGCAAATGATAAAACCCACAGAAACAGGTTCGTACATGTCGACCCAAGAGGGCAAAGCAGAAAAATCTTCCACTGTCCCACCTAGCGTCGCGCATGGACTTGACTGGCAAGATGTCCTTGGCTGAAGCCCGCCAGAAACGCAAAACCCTAAACCCTAAACCCATAAGTGCAAAACCCTAAACCCTAAACCCATACGCGCAAAACCCTAAACCCTTTAAAACCCTAAACCCACTGAGCCTGCGTATTACAAGGAATCCAAGGAGGGCCTCCAAACAGCCCAAAGTAGGTCTTATCTATCCCTAGTCTCCATTGTAGTTCCTTTTTTTGGTTTAACCAATTCTATATTAAGGATCCCCCAAAAAGGAACTGCAGTGGAGGCTATAGGTAGATTTCAAACGCCAAAATTGGTACCATTGGTACTACTTGGAGCTGCAGGGATAGAAATAGAAGCAAAAAACCAAGCAGCCGCACGAACAGAGCCGAGAGTCTGTATCAAAGTAATACCCCCCATACCTCCAGAGCTGGGCCAGTCGACAAATATCTGATTTATACCTCAAGGACGACATGACGAGTTTAGGGTTTAGGGGTTTAGGGGTTTAGGGTTTTGGGTTGAGGGCCCCGAAACGACCAGATTCGACTAGTATCCCTGAGGATTCCCTAGTCTTGTCTATCTAGTGGAAAATACCCCCCACCCTGAACCCTAAAGCCTAAACCACCCTAAACCCTAATCCACCCTAGACCCCAAACCTTAAACCACCCTAAACCCTGAACCCAAACCCTAAACCACCCTAATCCCCAAACCCCAAACCATAAACCACCCTAAACCCCAAACCCTAAACCACCCTAAACCGCAAACCCTAACCACCCTAAACCCTAGACCCTAACCCTAAACCGCCCTAAACCCTAAACCCTAAACTGCAGCACCCAAGAGAGACTCCTTCCTTTCCAGGGGACTTGCCATGTCGGAGGCTAAGGAAGCCTTCGGCGAGCTTGTGACCATTAAACCTTGCCGGAGAGGGGTTTGGGGTTCAAACTCCTTGAAGGGTTCCTTTAAGGGTTCCTTAAATGGTTCCTAAGGAGGGCTCCTCTAAGGGTTCCTTTAAGGGTGCCTTTAAGGGTTCAAGGCTCCTTGAAGGGTTCCTTAAATGGTTCCTTCAAGGCGAGAGCCTCTCCATCTACCCTATAGACTCGGCCCCCTAAGCCCCGATCCCTAAACCCTAAACCCCTAAACCAATAAACCCCAAACCCTAAACCCTACACCCCTAAACCCTAAACCTCTAAACCCCTAAACCCCTAAACCCCAAATCTGAGGCTACAAGGAAACTCCTGGTAGGGGTCAAGGGTTAAGGGGGCTCAGGGGCTCCGGCGGGTTCAGGAACTCTAAGGTTTAGAGTTTCCCAAAGGCTCCATGTACCTTTATAGTAGATACTTAGGCCTTAAAGGGGTCCCTATATAGGTGCTTTAAGGCCTAAGTATCTACTATGAAGGTACATGGAGCCTTTGAGTTTAGGGCTTCAAGAGTTTAGGGTTTAGGAGTTTAGAGGTTTAGAGCGTAGGGTTTCCAGAGCTTAGGGTTTAGGGTTTGGCCGAACAGCTGATGTAATTTCTTAAGCTCTTTGACGCACTGGTCGTCGTCGTAGAAGTGAACCTGTTCAACATCGCCTCCGAACAGCGCGATCGTATGCCTTAGCTGGAGTCGTCATAAGCCAAGAACCCTAACACCCTAACACCCAGAACCCTAAAAACCTAAACCCCCAGTCCCCACTCACGTGAAACTCTCCAAAACCCTAAACCCTAAACCCTGAAACTCAAAACGCTAAACCCTAAAACTCTATACCCTAAACCCAAAACCCTAAAACTCCACCACTGGGATGCTTAACATTCTTCAGCACCAGCTTGTGCATCGGATCCGACTTCAGCTGTGCCTTTGAGGCGTTCAGCAGATTGAACTTGTAGTTGAAGAGAACGATTGGAGGAATCTTGATGGCCTCGCAGGTTGTAGGGTAGGGTTTAGGGTTTAGCCTAAAGCTAACCCTGTCCTTCCGATGTGGCTGGTGGCGAGATGGAACTCCCCGCTGAGCCAGCAGAGCAAGGCCTTCAACATCCGCGCCGTCCTTCAGGGCCCTACCCATGGGCCCCTCGGTAGTTTCTCTTGGGGATTACCTTATAGGCTTCTAAACATAAACTTAAACCTTAAAAAGGAACTACTTAGGGGCCTATGGGTAAACCCCAAAAGGGTTTCGGATCAGGGGGACCCTTGGGGACATAGACCCAGTTTAAGAGAGCCAGAAGTAAGGCAAACAAGGGTCCCCCTTTAAGGGGCCTCCTTCATACTACCTAAGACTTCGGGGGCCTAAACCCTAAACGGGGGTTTGCTCTTGCAAGGGGATTCGAGAGGATTTCGGGTTTAGGGTTTAGGGGCTTAGGGCTTGGGGTTTTCGGGTTTAGGAAGTTTAGGATTTAGGGGTTTGGGGCTTGGGGTTTTCGGGTTTAGGTTGTACTCTTAACGGCACCTCGACTATCCTGTCGGGTCTTGTTTTATAGGGCACCTGTCTGGGCCAACTCCAATGCTTCGACGGTGCATACCCTCTCGTTAAAGGAAGCTACAGGTGGGGAGTTTAGGGTATATAGGGCTTCTATACGGCTTCTTTAAAGTATATGGACCCATGTTTAAAATGATCGTTTTTAGTCCTTACTAGGGTTTCATATTCACAAAAATGTAAAGTTGTATCCAACAAGGACCCAGTTAAGTTTACCAGGGAATTAGGAGTAGGGCCGTCGAGGGAAGCCCCCAGGTCATCAAACCATAACCCGCCGAAGAAGCGACCTCGGCCACCACACGTTCTGTGAGAGTGGCCAATGCAAAGGTCCAGAAAAGGCAGAGCCATCGGTTGGAAACCATGGCGCTGAAATTCTACTCGCACTTCTACTACGCTCTCGGAACCGTGAATGCTCCTGGGCCTCGATATGCCGGCAGAAGCTTTGAGATGCGCAGAGTAGCTCAAGCTATGCACTTTCGTGTATGGTTGTTTGAGACGCAGCTGGACGTGTGCGTAGATGTATTCGTGTGTGCGCAGCCGTACTACATAGTTAAGTAGCTACAGAATCAAGATAGATCTTAGTATCTACATGCACAAATGTGAGCAAATGTGTCGTATCAGTAGCACCAGGATGTCCATAGCATGGCATCCATCATCATAGGTATGAGACATGTACTGTACATATGAGTAGTTATGCATGTATGGATGTTTATGTGTAACAAACAGACATACAGACAGACAAACAGACACACAGACAGACCCTACGGACGGACGGACGGACGGACGGACAGACCGACAGACGGACGGACGGACGAACGGACAAACAGACATACAGGCATATTTACATTGACCACATATGAGTCTGCTTCACCGCTGTTGGTGGTCCTGCTGTCTCCATCAGCATACCTGGACTCGGTTGTACCTGCCAGAAACCAGCAACGCGAAATCAAGAGGTAAGGGACGCGTGACGCGGCCATTCGTTCAACGGAGCACGAACTCAACTTGCACAGGCACTGCGAAACTACTCAAGACAACCGGGCAAGCTGAGATACAAAAGGGCATTGACAAACACTCAGAATAAGGACCACAACGACTTGTGGAAAAGGCCTACCCGCAGACCACATATATACGCGGATCATCGCGGATCTCACGCAATTGAGGTCTCCTATAGACTTCTGGAGTCTATCAGGTGTATTGTCCGAAATACCCGATCCATATGTTTATGTGCTGTAGTTTCAGCATGATAACGGGCCGTAGTTGGAAGAACCCTCAATGTGAAGTCTTTAGACTATGCTACCGGTATGCCAAAACACACGCCCAAAATGCACACTCACCACCACTACTTATAGGGAGTCCAATTTTGTATGCATTCATGGAAATCACTGACCAGTACAAAAAATCCCTCCAAGAACCCCAAACCCTAAACCCGAAACCCTAAAGCCTAAACCATACACCCTAAACCCTACACCCTACACCCTAAAGCCTACACCCTACACCCTAAAGCCTAAACCCTAAACCCCAACCCCCAAACGCTAAAGCCGCATATGGTAAGAGCAGCACCAGCCGGAGCAGCACTTGGAGAGCGAAGTTGCTGGCCTCAGGGTTCAGGGCTCAGAAGTCGGGGGCTCATATAGGGTTTAGGGTTTAGGATTGAAGGGTTTAGGGGTTTACAGTTTTAGGGGTTTAGGGGTTTACAGTTTTAGGGTTTAGAAGGGTTTACAGATTTAAGGTTTAGAGGGGTTTAGGGGTTTAGGGCCTGAGGAATTAGGGGTGTATGCTAATTTTAGGACCAGTGCACCTCTCAAGTCGGTTCTCTAATAAGATATGCTGCCACATACGAAAATACAGGGATGACCCCAACACCCAAGCCACCGTAGCCCCCGACCCTTGAAGGAGCAGCATCTCATGCTGCGGGCTAGACCGGGTCGAAATATTGACAGGATGTTAAGGGCTTAGGGCTTCCGGTACGGGTTCCAAGAAGGGCTCTTGGAGGGTTTCCTTTATTGATGATATTCTAATTCTTGAAACCCTAAACCCTAAACCCTAAGTAGTCTTGGGCTGAGCTTACGTGGACGTCGGCTTCTGGGTTCTTGCAGGCTGAACCGGCTAAGCCCTGATAACGAAGATATCATTGTGCCGGATGCGTGGAATGCGGGTGTGTCCCGGGCTTAAAAGGGCGTTTGTAGGATACTGTATAGAAGTTGTAGAGGGCTTTATTATTGTCTTTTATAAACAGAACGCGTTGAAAAACGGGCCTGAATTTTCGAGCACTTAGGTATTCTGATATATCTTTTTGCCTTATATCTTACTAAATTCGCCTCGACCCCGGCCGAAGC